AAAAAAAAAAAAAAAAACAGAATCCTGAGAGAGAGACATAAGTGAGGGATCCCTCCCCCTGGATGGACAGAAATGCAATAGATGTTGTTTATAACAGAGCAACAAAATAACAATATTTATAAAATCCCTGAGAAAAGAAAGTGACTAACATAATTATTCATACAATAGAAAATGTCTGACAGAGATGAAGGGAGCAGCGGAGACAATTGTAATAATGGCAGTAATAGTGTATATGGTATATCTAAGCAATCTAGTATAAATCATATTCTACAATCAGATGCCACCATGATCCAGCATGTGGCCGCAGCCCTGAAAACAGTAGAGATGTCCAAAGCTTATCTGCTGCGTGCACCTCTCATCCATAACTCTGCCCTGTCATTTGAAATGCTGCCAAGTCCTGGCATTGTTGTCCTGAACTGAAATTTATTGACAGTTATGTTGTTATACCTGATAGACTGGGGAATGTCAAGATAAGTTATTTACTGCCTGTCATGCTGTAGCTGACTCTTATCTCCCCATTGGTCAGACAGGTACATCGTCTTGTTATATATGACTGAAAGGCCCTTAACTCTCATGATTTAGCTCCCACTGAACAGAAAAAAACATGCAGTGCAGTAATTCATTGTTGGACTTGAAGCACAACAAAGTTGCAGGGTCACTGATAGCTGGATTGACATGTCCAGTGGTGGTTATAAATAACTGACATAGTGAACATGTTGTTCAGTGTGGGGATGTAAAAGCAGCATGTAGTCGGCAGGGGTTTCCTATTTTTACAGATAAAACAGAGGCACATTGAGACATGGTGTCCATTTAATAACTAATGAAACAGAATGGAGAGAAAGAGGAGCGTATTGGTTAAAATGAAATGCAAGACTATTCTTTTTGCAACGCAAAGATTGCAGTGTCAAAACCCCAAATAACAAGTTTTTAACAGTGATTGGGTTCAGGGGAGCCATTGTGGTCCAGGACATACTGTAGCTAAGCATCTGTAAATTATTTATTATTTCATAAAATAATTAAAACTTAAGGTTAACTGAGCCAGGAGGAACCAGACTGTGTGGTGCAGGACATCAGTTACTGCTTTCATTAACAAGCCGGCTGGTGGTGCCTCTAACAGACCGTTGTCAGACAGCGGTTGACTTTAAAACTTGAAAAGATATTTTTTTATTTTTTAACGGCACACAGGTTAACTTTAAATGACATTAAATTGATTGGAAGTTGTAAAATGTATACTATATGAGTAAATAACCTCCCAATACAACTTACAGTGTTAGTATGCATATACGTCACTCTCAAGAAGACCGGATTACATCTGGTAGCTGATCCTGATGAGGTGAGGTGAGGGAGCTTGGAGGATTACTGGTGAGGAAATTCAGACCAGCAGCTTGTGCTAATGTCATTACAGAGGAGAGGCCTGGCCACTGGAAGTGCTGTGACAAACAGTACCGCGTCTTTTATTAAAGCAGTCAAATGACCTTCACATTTCCTAAGCTAGTTACTATTTTACTTCCTTTAATGGCTGTCTAAAATAGATATCTAAAATGACTGATAGTTGTACTTTGAGAAATCAGAGTGAGGTGTCATATGCACCCCATGTAACTTTTCTAATACTAAGTCCTTTGAGATCTCTTGGCAGTATAAATTATAAATGTGTAATATGAACCCTCTCATGCAATAAAGTATTTACACCAGGTTTTGGTTCAGCCTGCTCTCTTACCTCGAGCAGCTTTTGTGCATCTGCTCACTCTGTGGTATGCAGGGCAGTCCTTGATGTTTAGTCACTTTCGGAATGTGAAACTGCAGGGTGCGGAAACAAAAGCACATTTTGATCAAATGAGCTGAGTGATAGAAAATATCAGTGGAAAACACAGCTTCAATTTTTCTTTTGGTTAAAATCAGACAAGAGTTTTATTATGTTGCAGTTAGATCAGATACGTATTTATTTAAAAAGAATGAGCCAAGCCAACACAAGACATTGATTGTGCAAGTTACTGAATGATAGAAAGCAAATAAACATTGGCACATTTTGTGCATAGTTGTCTTTGAGCATTATCGTTCTCTCACTAACCATAATCATTTCCTCTCATGCCATTAAGTTTATTTAGATCCCCACTAGTTACTGTATTCCTACAGTGGCTACTCTGTATGTGGCTATCAGACTGTTTTGGGATTTCTTTAAAAGATGCTAAATGTAAGACAGGTTGTACACGGACAGTTGTGAGGAAAAAAACCTGTTGGAAAGATCCATAAAAAAGACTAAATAAGGCAGCACTGTGCTCTTCTGTGCAAGGTCGCAGTAAAAAGAGAAAATAATAATGATTGGACAAAGTTTAACAATAAAATAAGCAGAATTGTCCTGCAAAGGTGCCTGAAAGACATTTAAAAGACAATGATGTTGTGAGTCTGGGCTTCAGTTGAAAAACATTCCAATTGGGAAGGCCACATACCTTATCATGTGTGTTTACCTGTTTACTGACTGATTTGTTCTGTTTGACTTACTGCTGTCTGACTGTTTACAGTATCTATTGTTTTCAATGCTAATGACGTTGAAATCGTTTTTTTCTGTCTCCACAGTTATGACATGGTGCACTACGGTCATTCCAACCAGCTACGTCAGGCCAAAGCCATGGGAGACTACCTCATAGCTGGAGTACATACAGATGGTAAAACTGACACATGTAGATATTGTGTTACCCAACGTATATTCATTTGAAACTACTTTTTAAGTTATTGCCCAGATTAGTAGTATTTTACTCACTATTTTAGGTATGAAGGTCTTATTTATAGGATAAGTGTAACAAAAATTAGGAAAGATAGATAGTAAAGTGAGGAGTACTACCTTCATTATTCATTACTTACCATACATGTGTTATCAATGCACCAGTAATATTATAGAATTATCTTCCTTCTCAAAGCGGAGATTTCCAAGCACAAGGGTCCTCCGGTCTTCACTCAGGAAGAGCGCTACAAGATGGTGCGGGCCATCAAGTGGGTGGATGAGATAGTGGAAGGAGCACCTTACGTCACCACCCTGGAGACTCTGGACAAGTACAACTGTGACTTCTGCGTGCACGGAGGTGAATCACTTGAAGTCTGCTCTTTGAATCCTGTTTTAGGTCTTAACACTATGAGTCTGTAATGTAACTGTTTCCCAGATGACATCACACTGACCGTAGACGGCAAAGACACATATGATGAGGTGAAGCGTGCAGGCCGTTACCGAGAGTGTAAACGCACTCAGGGTGTCTCCACCACTGACCTGGTGGGACGAATGCTCCTCATGACCAAAGCCCATCACAGCAACATAGTGAGTATGTGCAATATCTATTCAGTGTATGAAACTGTTGTTTTTTTTGCTGTTGATCTAATCCGTTTATCTTTTACAATTTCTGCAGGATAACCCAGATTACCAGCAGCATACAGACAATTTTGGAAAGGTAGGTGCTTTGTCTTTTTATAACCCTATCATATAAATGAATTGTGATATTTATCGCACCTAGCCATTGCCACATTGCCCAAATGACAGGAGTAGGTCACTATGACTTAATACTGTTTGTGTGTTGTGTTCAAGGGTCCAAAAGGCCACAGTCCATGGACAGGAGTGTCCCAGTTCCTCCAGACATCCCAGAAGATCATCCAGTTTGCCTCAGGAAAAGAGCCAAAGCCAGATGACACCATTATCTATGTGGCTGGAGCGTTTGACCTCTTCCGTATCCTTATCATTTAGAGATGAGCAGAATTGAGTTATGAACCAGAATGGCACTCAGTAGAGTTTGTACCTCAATTTAAATTCACTAGATCCTGATTTTTATTAGGATCATAAATATCATTCCCCGAAATACGCCAGATTTTTTTCTTCAAAGTCACAATAATTCTTGTATCCACCCCCTCATCTGGATTTGCACCAAAATAGGCCCCACCCACCTTTGAGTGGTTTTTGTGTAATCCTGCTAATTACCTCAGAATGAACAGTATTTGTGCTACAACTATTTCATAGTTGTTGCCTTGACCACAAACTCCTCACAGACATTGGCCATGTTGACTTCCTAGAGATGGTGTATAAGCAGGCAGAGAGGCCGTATGTCATCGTCGGTCTGCACTTTGACCAGGTACACCTAACTACGCACACATCTCAACAAACACACAAAAGGGTGAGAAATTCACCCCTCCCTTCTGTGTCAGCGGGTTCCAAGAAAAACATTTGGAACAGGTTAACACAAGAGCAGGTCAGACTTAAAGGCTAGACGGTGAAGAAGACCAACATAACTGACATCTGGCTTTTGTCGACAATGGGAATGGATACAATCTGCATTAACTTCCAGGGGAAAGTACCCTGCAGTAGACGCAGGGTTTTATCAATTTTGGCTCAGACAGCAAGGTGAAAGAGCACCTCGGTTTTCAGTGTGTTTGTGACATGGAACATGACTCACCGGGGGGGGGGGAAAGTAATGCAAACTCCCGTACTGGCAGCAGGAAAGAGTCAATCACCTTCTTTTAGCAGGTTTAAAAAAAAAAAAAAAACATGAATACTTGCTAATGTTGGTGTAAAAGAGGTATTGAAAAGTTTGGAGGTGTAGGAATGTCCGTACCACTATTAGACCCACTGTGTTAGCAGCTTATCATAAGGATACAAATGTAAAAGTTGTAACTGAGTTTCCTCTCTCCTCAGGAAGTGAATCGGTACAAGGGGAAGAACTATCCAATCATGAACATCCACGAGAGAACACTGAGTGTCTTGGCCTGTCGGGTGAGTTCACACACGCACACAGAAAATGTGTAGCACAGCAGGATGAATTTCTGCTCTGCACACGCTGTGCTCTTGGCTCTGTGCCCCCTTCTTCCTGCTTGTCAGCTATCAGTGTAGAACAAGAGGTTCTCAGTGGCCCCATCTACACCCGGTGTGAGTTTGTGTTGAAGTTCAGATAACCTATGAGTGTGTGTTACACAAAAACCAAATATGTTACACAAACCTAAAACTGCTAAATGTACTCAGCACATCATGACGAGGTACAGAATTTGCCTGAATTTGACTAGTGAGCAGTTTTGGAATGTATACAAATCTACTTCTCTTCACTTCCTCTCGCTGTCATCCTGTCTGTAGTATGTGTCAGAGGTGGTGATTGGTGCACCCTACGCAGTGGGCAAAGACCTTCTAGATCACTTTAAGGTGAGTTGACTTTGTGTGGCTCTAAGTCTGTCAATATTATTTTTTATTTAAAGTATTTATAGCTTCATTTAATAAGAATAGTTTGTAGAGATCAACAATGGTTTTGCAATAGTTTTCAACATAATAATGTAACACACATTAAAGCATTACTCAACACAGAACTTTAAACAAGTTATCACAAGTGTCTGAAACAGTGTAGAGCAGAACTTCAGATCACTCTGTGATAGCTGCATTTGAAAAAGCTCAGCCAAGACTAAAAGGGATCCAATACTGCGGCGCCCCCTTATGGAAGTGTTGAAATATAAGCTCAAGATCATCAATTTAAAGGTGATGATGAATTTATGAACAAAGTCCCTGTCTTTACTCTCCCTGTAAGACACATATGGTTATAACTGTTTGTTGAGCCGTCCTGCACTGAGGGAAGCTTACTAATTTGATAAAGCTTTGTCAAGTTTTGACTTTCTCCGCCTGACCTAAAAATCAGAGTCAGTCAAAGTCATCGGTTAAATCCTCAGGCAGAGGGGAAGGTCGTGGCGAAAAGAGCACGCTGTCATCATGACTGTCCATCTAACTGTGAACTCTGTTGTGGGGGCATGATGGACATTGAGCATTATTGGCTGATAGAAATGCCAAACAATGTCCACGACAATAATTTATCAGTCCATAATTTAGTTTTTATCTGATATATGTAACTATGTAACTGTAATGAGGAACTGCGAGTACATCTGCCAGCACAGGGCCCCTGAGTTACTCCTTAGTGTAACTTCACTTTACACTGTATATTGTAGATGTACAGATATGTAGAATACAGTTTATGTGATGGTTGGGTTCACCAGGTGTGTTTGTTTAACTGCGCAGGTGGATCTGGTGTGTCATGGCAGGACAGATGTGTTTCCTGACAAGGATGGTTCAGACCCGTACGCTGTGAGTACATATTCATACTGTCTGTGGTCAAAGTGCAGCTACATTTACGACTGTATTACTGCATTTATAAGTTACATGTGTTTCTGTTATGAGATGAATTCAATATGGTCATGGAGTTGCTGTTAGCAATGTAATGTAAACAAATGTTATCTCTCACTCATCAGGTGCTTTGAGTTGTAGTCTGTAGCTTAAGAAAACATAAATAATAAAGCAGAAGAGAAACACCAGGGTGTTTTGTAATTGAAAGTTCAACTAATTTGAAACTGCTTTCATTTTGCAGATACACTTTTCAAAATTACCTAAAAGAAAACAAGTAGATTCAAACCTAAGAAAAACATTTGCAGTCGCAGTAGATGTCTTTTTTCATTTTGTTTGTTTTATATGGAAATCAGATATGACTAAGTGTTAGCACAAGTGATGAGGAGTAGTTTAAAAAAAGTTGGGTTTTCACTCAGTCACCACTCCGGGATTGGTCACTGATACTCCCAGTATTGTTCTCAATTGTTGTTTCAACCCTAAGGAATGATCTGGTTTTAAAAAAAACTATAATAAACTTCACAGGAACTCTGCAGTGTTCAATTGTAACAGGTGTTATCTCACTGTTATTTTTCAGTGTTGTGTATTATTTCTTCTTTTTGGTTTTTAAACACCACCTTGGTTGGACGTCTTCACACACGGAGGATGACGAGGGAAACGTGGAATTGTTTGTTTTGAAATAACCAGTGGTGTGTTGTCTCGTCAGGAGCCTAAGAAGAGGGGGGTATTCAGGACCATCGATAGTTCCAATAATCTCACCACTGATGACATCGTCCAGAGGATCATTGAAAACAGGTCAGGGTCATGCAGCTCTTTTCCTTTTTTACAACAAAATAAGCAGTTACACTCCGATAAACCTGCAAAAAAAAGCCCATTGACTGCTTTCCCGTTGCCAGCAGAGGAGTTTAACTAAATTTTTTTCCCCGGTGTGTCATTTTCATCACAAACACACTGAAAACTGAGACGCTCTCTCACCTCGCCGCCTTGCCAAATTAATGCATTCACCCAGATGTCACATTTTCATCATTGGAGCTGGAGCCAAAAAAAAAAAAACAGTGTCTCCTGCAGAGTCGATTGACAGGGGAGTGAATGCCAATTGTGTCCACTCTTACTGCAGACAAAAGCCAAATGTTAGTGGGTGTTAGTGGGGGGTTTGACCTGTGCAAAAAGGCACTTTACTCCTGCATTTCCTCTTCACCTTCATTTGAATCCTCTCAGTATAGATCGATCTTGAGTTTACTGAGGTCACATTTCTTGTTTTCCAGGCTGCAGTTTGAGGCCAGGAACCAGAAGAAGGAGGCCAAGGAGATGGCGGTGATCGAGGCGATGAAGAAGAGAGAGCAGCAGGAGCAGAGCGATGCTGCGGCCCAGACTGCTCACTAACGAGACCTCAGACCTGGATCCAACTGGTTCTTTGTCTGATTTAAGCTTTAAGATGGCGGACTCAAATGACCTAGACAGATGGTCCATGTTGTTTTAAACGAGGCCTGGCTGCGGGTGAAACAGCCAGTGGGGACAGAATCGTGCTTTTTAGTATTAGGTGAGGCAGTGTGTCCCACTTTTAACTTCTTCCAGTTCTCTTGTCCATACATTAGTCCAGCCTGTGCAGGATTTCATTAGATCTGCCTTAACAAGAACACAAAGAATCCAAACATTTACTACACTGTTCAGTATCTATGTTTGTATCCATGCATTCACACAACCTTGTGTCCCTGTATAGGTGTTAAGTGCTATTTTACGTTTTTAATCATCCATAACTTATTGAAAAAATATTAATGTGATTGTCAGTTTTGTTTTAAGATTTTAAACCAAATTAGTTTTTAATGATCAGTCAGTGAGGTTGGATGTTTCTAATACAATGGAGGATGTAGATTTATTTTAATATCTTTGATTTTGTCCATCCTTAATGAAAAAGCAATTACTACGTGAAAAGATCTGTGAATTAGTCTTCTTAATTTGAACTGTGGATTTTAACGACATGAATTTGCACCGTATGTCTGTTTGTGCGTTGAGTGTGAGAGAGAGAGAGAGAGCGTTGCACTGTAAATTACAGTAGTGCCTCATTCTTGAAGCTATAACTATGCGAGGTTGGTGAAATGTTTGAAACCGTTTGAAGGTCTGTCTCTACAACTGAGATGGAAGTCCTACTTTCTTCAGTCTACGTTCAAGAAATGTGTTAAAAATGTGAAAACTAGAATGTCCTCTTCACAAGACAATCCAAGAATGTAAAGATTTTGGAGTATCACTGTTGAAACTGTTGAAAGTAATTGTCTGTTCCTTCTCATCATACGAGACACATTACTTGGACGTGAATTGTTAATTGTAGCGAGATGGCGTGTTTTTCAAAGTGTGTGTGGGTTGGAAGGTGGGATGGTGGGAGCCAGAGAAATAAATAACTTTCTAAATATTACACAGTGGACATTTTTAATAACTATATTACAATGTGTAAATTCCCCTTGATTAAATAAATTGCTAATATGGCAAAGTGTCATCTGATGTGTGTTTTACAGCCGCTGCGTAATGTAGTGCAGCCTTTTGATGGATCTTTGTTGGATCAGCACAAAGTCACGGTTCACTGAGTCACTGAAATGAGGCCACAGTCACTTGGAAACAGCTAAATCCAACTGCTCCTGTCCCATTCACACTGATCCTAGATCTGAACAAAGACCAAACCGTCACCTCATTTCGAACACAAAGAGCCTCTAATCCTCCAGCCCAGTCGTCCCGGAGGAGCATCTGCAGGAAGGATCCTGTCACTCATCTAATGGACATGACCGAGCACAGTCATTTTCACGACAGGGGCTCTGATATACACTCCACAAATTTACATTTAGTCATGTGTTTTTTTTCCACTGTGCTGATTTACTACAGTGAATAGTGGAAATGTATTTTACACAGGGACTATATACAAATAGTAGGTGGAAAATGGAACAATAACTGTTCTTTATCACTCAGGTGTCTTAAATATATATAAGCAAAAGCACAAGTAAAGTAATTTACTCAAGTTTTGTCATGGAAGTAAACACAGGGTCGACGGTACAATGGAAAGTGTTGGATGAGAAGAACGGGTCAGCTCAGCAAAAAGGGCAATGTTATTGAAAAAGATAGATAGACTCAAAACTGCTTTTTTCATATTCCTGGATTTACATGAGGTCTCAGGTTACTGTTGTTTTATCCCTATTACCATTATTGTTCGAGTACTTCCTAGTATATTTTAATAATAAACAAACGGATAAATAAATACAAATCTCCAGGCCAGCTTGGACAGCCTTTATTTCCAAAAGGGGTGATCAGAATATATCATGTATATATTATATTGTACACATTAAGAGAGTGAGGACACAAGTGGAAAAGCCAAAGAGTCATATGTTTATAATGTATTGCACATATTTCAATATGTAACAGTCAAACAACACTTTCAATGCAAGTGAACTCATCCAAAATACCTGAACATGAGTGAAGTTATGAGTTAATAAGTCTGATAACCTGATCACACCAATAAGACATATTTATTTTTCTCTAGGCTGCTAAAACATGAAATTGCTCGATCAGCAGTTTCGTCACTTCCCAGGGAAGTCCAAAACTTTTCCCTGTGTGCTCCAGGGGGAGGAGGCAGCTCCTGGATGATTTGGGGTCTTTCCAAGGCGGCAGGACACAGTTTGAACCGCGCTGGTGCCACAGTTACCCAACACTTTGGTGTTTTTCACCGCAGTGGGAATTAAAAGCCAGAAAGCGACACCAGGAGCGATGCGTAAAATCAGTTTCACCCGCAGCTCCGACACCGCGAGGGATGTTCCAGAGATGGCCTGAACTTTTGATTTCGTTTTACTTCTGGGGAGGTAACTTTTGTCCACGGTGAGATCCTGAGGAACAGACTGACGAGGAGCTGGGATCATGCAGCGTGTGGAAACAAACTGTGGGTGATCCCACCGTGGAGCAGCGCACCGCCTGCCCGCCTGTGTGCTCCTGTGGCCGGGGAGGAGATGAGTGCTCGGGATGGGACTGTGCCTCGGTACCGAAGTGACAGAGGAGGAGAAGAGGGCGAGGATCCACAGTGCCAAGATAGACAGGGACCTGTACGAGTTCGCCAAACGGGACATGAACCTGGTGAAAATACTCCTACTAGGTGAGGCTGGTTGTCCCCTCACTGTAAACGCACCTGAGAGGAGAGTCTCCCTGTTTTATCTTGTGCATGTGTCCCAGATCACTTCTAGTTTCAGACACCTTCAACAACCTGTTTCTATTCCTGGACCTTTTCCAGTTGATGACATGATAATTCCTTATTTTTCCTGGGAACTCTTGTAAAGGGCCTCAGGCTGTTTTGGTTTGAGAACCACGGTTTGATTTAACCCATTGTAAACTCACTGATCAAAACACCAGATGCCACCTCAGGGTTTTTAAATGTTTGTTTTAGTCTAGATTCAATTTAACCACCTTGTTTAAAACCTGCAGGTGCAGCAGAGAGCGGCAAAAGCACTTTGGTCAAACAGATGAAGATCATCCACAGTAATGGATTCACTAAGCAAGAGCTGACCAGCTTCAAGGTGGGACTACACACACACACACACACACACACTGGGTTTTTTTACTAACCTAAACCCAACCTTCATTTTAAACTAACCTTAACCAAGCCTTAACCTTAACCTGACCTCAATCTGAACCTAATCCTAACCTTAAACTAAACCTACCCTAACCTAATCTTAACCTAAACCTAATCTTAACCTTAGAACATGTCACCATGGAATTGAATGTTTTATCTTATGGGTCCCATAAGAAAGACAAATCATTTTTATGTGACTGTCTAAACTGGTTTAGATCCCCACAACACCCACAATACACATGACCAGACTACAACCTGCATCCCCCTGCCTTTTCTTTAAAATCAGTTAACAGTCTATTTGCATACAGTAAGTTTGGTGATGTTTCCAGGAAAACAATCACATTGCTCTCTTATCTAAAAAAAGGGAAAACTAATAAATGCTTAAACAGACTATTGTTACATGTGTTTAGCGTTGGGTTATTGTCATTTCAGGTAAGAACCTGATTCCAATCACAGAGGTCAAGAGGTCAGTTTGTGCTGCAGTCATGGTGATGCATTATTAGATGAGATTAAAGATGGAGGAGCAGTGATGGGAGATGACATGAAATAAGAGGCGATGGTTAGTTCCTGTGGGCGACTGAGATTTCTCATGATACCCAGGGTCAGATCCAAGCTGGTATGCAGTGGTTTGGCTCTCATCTGCTCTTCCTAGTGTGTGTGTGTGTGTGTGTGTGTGTGTGTGTGTGTGTGTGCGCTGTGAGGGACTGAAAGCCAAATTCCTTTGTTGCACTAGAGGTTGGGATGGGGTGGGGAAATTGGAATGGTTGAACACACACACACACACACACACGCACACAGCTTCAGTTTCAGCTTGTTTTTACTGAAGGTTTATCTTACGCCACCCCCACCCCACCCCCACAGGTGTTATTATGTTTACGTTATTATGTTTATTAAATTTTTGCTAGTGCTAACCAAAAGCACTTACAGCTGTTACTACCGGCCTGTAGAGGAAACAAGTGTAGTTGTGCATTAAACTTTATTGGTTTACTCACCAAAAGTTGTGTCCAGTGGTGAAAAACAACACTAATGCTGAGTCTGAGTTTAACCAACCAACCTATCCAAGTTAACCAGCTAGTGCAAGCAGCTGGTCTGTAGTGTAAGGCAAAGAAAGGAACTGATAGAAAGAGAAGGACGACAACGGTTAATTGGACACCAATATTCTGATATTAACCTGATGAAGACAATAGTCTGAATTAGACACTGTCATGCAAACAGCATTTTCTTCAACCTGAATAAGGTCACACTCTGAGTTAGTAATAATCAAATGAAGACATGTGGAGTATTCTGTGTGTGGTGACATTGTGTAGGCAATCACATTATAACAACCTATGGAGTTGTCACTCACTGCTTGATGACACATGTCCTGGGTTCAAGTGGTAGGATATAATGTTGACTGGAGCTGTGGTCAGACTGTGTTTGCAACATATGAACAGGAACATGAATGGAATCTAATGTTAGAAGCTCAGGCAAACACAAATATTGTCTTATTCTGAATATGGTCAATACTCAGAATATTGATGTCCATGGAAACACAGTCAGTGTTGTTGATTTCCACCTCAGCTCTTACAGTAAAGCAATAAAGTCTGATGCATCAACTTTTCCTCTAAAAACAGTTGTGTGCCATGTAGTGATATATCAAAACATGTACATATAGAACCTTTAACCTTTTACTGTATTCCTACTCATCCCTTTCTTCTATTTCTTTTCTCCTTTTCTCCCCGTGCCTCCTCCTTTCTGTGATTCATAAACACAATGAGTATGTGATGACAGAAAGGGTCTTTCAGATACCTGCTCCGTCTTCCTGCAATAACGGTCAGACCAAAACTAATTATGAAGATGGTGGAGTTTGAACCCACCTTGGTTTCGTTTGTTGAAGAGACTGTAAAACTGAAAGCAGGCTCCACAGTGAAGCTGCCCGAACCAAAAATGAACTTGAACATTATTTATGAAAGAGCTATATTTACTTAGAGGGTTGGTGTTTATGCATGTGATCATCCTATGTGCAACAGGCCTATATATTTTCTGGAGATATGCTAAACACTGTCAAATATTTCCATTTGGCAGCTCCTCATTGGCCACTGGGATTATACACTCACACGTTGATGTGGCATGTGAAGGTCCCAGTTGTTTGTACAGGCAGCTGCGATGTGTGAATGCATTTCTAGATATTAAAGATGCCTCAGCTCCCTCCCTGGACTCCTCTCCTTCAGTCAGCCTGTCTGCAGTTCACTCCTGCAAACACAAGCATCAGACTTTCTTTTACTGGACTGTGCATGGTGAAAATAAAAACCCTTCTGCAGATCAATGGGACGTTACAATGTCTGGTTTGATTCATAACCATTTTATTTACATTTTATATGATCATATAGTTCCGATTCAAATAAAAAGTTGTTATAGATTGAGATTGTATTTTATTCAGGCAAAAGTCTTGTGCAGGTGCTTGTGTTCAGAAAATCATTTAAGAATTTAGATTTCCTTGTTAAATAAGGGGGGTTGTACTAAAAAATACATTAGTCATTTAGAAATGGTCTATTATCAGTTCTGAACAACAAGAGTCAAGAGCAATGCTGGAGGTTCAATGAGGCTGTATTTGTATGCTAACATCTAATATGCACATACCAACAATGCTAACAGATAAAAGACCAATAGTGTAGCAAGCCTGCAGCCAGCGATCAAGATGCTTTGGCTTCGAAAGCAATGTGCTCTACTGAGTGCCATTCTATTTCATAATGTTTTTAAAAAGCACTAAAGAGGGACACAAACTATTTCCTGCAAGACTTTAATAAACAGTAAAATGAAGAATTAAAATGAAATACCTCTGAGGATTTCAATTACATTTTCTGGAGGGGTGTGACATTAGCCATACAATTCTGGAGTGGATCTGGATCCAGGAATCAGAGCAGATCCAAATTAAAATCTGGATCTACTGAATTTAAATATGGTTTCATAAGGGGACTGTTGAGGGAGGTATGATCTCTAAAGTGCCATTCTAGTTATTGTAATGCAGCTGTAGGAAACACACTGAAGATTTCAAAAGCACTTCCTCTAGTCAGCCGGTTAACATGCACACATGCCTCCTCTTTTGTTGTCTCCTCTGTCAGTTGGGTTTGCCTTCGTTCTCAGGTGACGCCCTTATTTTCAAGTGGAAAATGACACCAGCCCACAGACCTGCCCTTCCCTTCTCTGACCATCCCAACCTCCCAGGGCAAACACAGACACACCCTCCCCTGCGCACGCACACACACACACACACACACACACACAGGCATTATGTGAGCATATATTTCACACTCGTCCTGACCAAGTGTCCATGTGTCCACTAGTGGCATCGTGATGATCTTAACCCTGCCTTGAACTGGACAGGTTATCCTTGCTCCATGCTCTGTTCTCTAAAGTGTCCCCTGAAGGCACAGTGAGAAAACCCCATGTCTTTGTTCCTCTGTCTGGCTCTTTGTGGAGCTGCCAGACAGGCTTGTATTGCATTAGGACCATGATGGGACCTGTACTGGAGGAATAAGAGAAGGAACAGTAGGAAGGGGGCTTCTCTGTGTCTCATCCCTCCTTTATTTGCAGCCCCGGGCCTTAGTGTTGTTTTTGCTGTGGATAGGCTGATGGACTGAGATTTTTCCCTTCGTGCTCCTCCAATACACACAGCTCTTTGTCAACAGAAGTGATGTGTGTGTGTGGTTAACATTTATGAAGTGGATTAATATTTTTCAGTCAGGAATGTCTCTGTTGATTCAGGTGTTTGCATGAATATTTGTCTCATGAACAAGTATCTTAAGGAAATACAAAATAAATCTGGGAGCAGTGAGACTTTAGTTTGGAAAACCAATGGAGCTTATAATCTACAACCACACTCATGCTTAGTTACACATTGTCATCAGAACAGTCTGTGGTTAATGATTAAATACCAGGCCACCACCAGTTCAGCTACATTCTTTATTGTTGTGTTTTTGACACAAGGCAACTGCTAACGGCTGTTAGTTCTCTGTGCTCAGGGAGCCGATTCAAACTGTGAGCTGGACAGTAAGCAACACAACAATAGTTCAGTGTGTGTGGATGGATTTAGAGATTAGACTTTTGTAATGAGAGTTGTTATATGTCTGCTGATGCACGATGTACCACAAAGTTCCCACAACACTTTAAACTGTGGTGGTGGTGATGGTGGCAGGATTATTAGCACCATACAAAGGTTAGAAAGGTGGGAGAGATTTCTGTCTGTTAGACTTCCTTGTAAACTGATAACGTCCAATAAATACACACCCACACACACACACTAGCCAGCAGCTAGGGGTATCGTATGGTAATCTGATTCCACTTAGCTTTGCGTCACCTTTAGATTCAGTAAGTATGGAGTAAATGGACACCTAGTATGTGTGTGTGTGTGCATGTGTGCATGCAGGCATGTATTGCTTGGTAAAATAAAGTGGCACAGTGTTAGGTATGGTAGCCATTTGATAGAAAGTGCGTTTACATTTAAACGCCAGAACAAGATGGTTGGTGAACTGCTCCTAAGTTGTTAAAGTTTCCTGCACATACTGTTTGTTAATTAGCTACAAAGACTACAAAGTGTCTGATGCTGTTCGACCATGACCTGTACCCTCACTCTCTGTCTCCCACCTTGAGTCAGAGAGGGAGGAACTGGGAAACGGTTGATAAGGAGGATAAAGGTGGAGGGAGGGAAGGAAGGAGAATGACGACAGATGATGATAGATGAGGGTATAAACAATGAATCAGTGACATCATATGTGACTTGTTGGAAGACGAAAAAGAAACATTTCAACACCTGTACAGAAAAGATAACAATAGATTTGTAATAAATAATGTGGTTGTTACATTTATGAAGCTCAAGCTTTGTTGAAATTGGAAAGGAGTAGTTGATTTAACTCCAGGGTCATTTTTGGGATTATAATTCGTAATTTTATGTACTTGTACCTTATTCACGATAGTGTTTACTGGCACACTACTGTCGCAGCATCCTCATCACCAGGCGTGTGTACTGCGTTGCCTTCTCCCAGTGAGCGCAGGACTTGTTGTCCTGGGACACATTTACACATCTCAAACCTCAACGCTGCCATCACACCCTCATCACCAATTTTCAGGGATGTTTATGACCATAAAACATAGAAACTACACCACAAAGATCCATTTTGACTGTTCTTTAGACAATAAGAATGGTTTATTATTATATAGCAAATATAGAGGGATATGAAATTGCATATCTGACAATGATGGTTAGGTGACGGGGAGACACACAAAGCAGCTTATTTCGGACACAAATCAATGCGGTGCTGTCAGCGAGTGTTCTCCTAAAAGAGAACTTAATTTGTCCCTAATGCAGTGGTGTCAGCAGTCGTGAGCGCAGCGCTGCTCGTAAGATGAAGCACTGTCACCTCACACACTTATCTCACCTCACACATTTATCTCACCCCGCACATTTCACTGGGAGAGCAGCACATCTCAATTCAAGCACTGAAACAGAGAGAGAGAGAGAGAGAGAGAGAGGAGCAACCAGACTGTGATAGAATCGTGATGGAATGTGAAGCTTATCTTGAGCTGGCAGCAGAGTGGCGTAGAGTACACATACACACAAACACACGCACACACACACACTCTTCCCAGGAGTCAGTCTGCTCAGTCACTTAAGTCTCCAGATTTCCGAACACAAAGACAGAGTTATGAGTTTAATTAATGTGTTCTGTTGTTCTTTAATGCTGATCCCTGAGCTCTGATAGATGCAAACATGCACACACTCGACTGCACAAATATGTGTATACGTGTCTAGAATTCAAGGTATATTATATTCAAATTATTTGTGTTAATGTTCAGCTTTTAATGTTCTGGTCTAGTTTCTCCGCTGTTCACATCCAACAACATGGACAGGTCACCAGTGTATCAATATAGAGTCACCAATCAACTTCCTGTGAGTCTCTGTGTCTAGTATATATGCAAATTGCAACCAGGTTGCTAACATATTTTTGCCATACTAACTACTTGGCAACTGCAATGGTCATGGGGTAAGCACTGTTGCGTCACAGCAAGAAGGCTCGTGGTTCAAATTCTGGTTTCCATTGGAGTTCGCGCTTGAGTGGGTTTTTTGCTAAGACACAGATAGTAGACTCTAAATTGATATGCTGGTCACCTGTCCCCTACCTCACTCTTACCCAATGTCAGCTTAGACTGGCTCCAAGCAAATGTCCCTGCGACCCTTACAGGATAAATATACTGTACTGGTGGAGATACTGGATAATCGATATTGCAGTGATAATATGTCATGTATTATATGAAACCTGTATATCTTCTACACAGCCACTAATTTCCCATTAATCTCATTTACTGCACCTACTCCAGGTAACATGACCCCAACATGATGATTATATGTTTTTCTGTGAGCTTTAGTGGTTGATTGGCAGATTGTGTTACCTATACATACCTATAAATCTATACATTTTGACTTTGAACAACTTTTAACTGTTGTGAAAATGTATGAAAAAGAAAATGTTAGTCCTGTCACATGCTTGTCTTTGGTAGGAAACTCATCAGCTGACACTATACTTCGGTGAAGTCATAAGTGAAACTAAATTAAAACCCTCAGCAAACACAACAATGTCTAATAAGTCATGAACTTGACCTCTAAACTTTCTCTGCAGCCTGCAGTCCTGGATAACCTCCTGACCTCCATGAAGTTTGTCCTCCATGGGATGGGGGTCCTCCGGATTAACCTGGCTAACAGCAGGAACAAGGTAGTCATCTCCTTGTGTCGGTGTCTACTCTTAGAGATGTCCCTGGTTTTTCTCTTCAACCGTCTCCTCTGTTCAAATTAATCATTTTATTGCTAGATTTCAGCTGCACTGCACCCAGATCGCCACTAGAGAGAAGCATCTGAGCACTGCAGCTGGTTCATATGGCTCCGCACGCACACACACACACACACACACACACACACATTTTGTGTTTGTACTTCTATTTTAGTAACACTCATTGACATAATGCATTCCCTTGCCCCTTACCTTAACCATCCAAACTAAATGCTCTAACCCTAATCCTCAAACCACGTCTTAACCCTCAAACAGTCCTTTGAAAAAGTGAGGACCGACCAAATTGTCCTCACTTTCCAAAAATGTCCTCAGAAGGGTCGTAGGGACTAAGCCTAAAATGGTCCTCACAAAGAGATAAGTAGGAACACTCACAAACAAACATACACCGACAGTTTGTCTGTATGAGCAACAGCAGAAAGTTAGATGATACGTGGGTGGTATGATTAGATGTTCAATTTGATTTGAACTTTATTGTCAAAGTTATCAGAGCTCATACCCTGCTCACCCACTCGGCACATCCTGCCGGGACATAATGACCAAAGTGTTTCCTTTATTAAATGTCTGCAGGGTGTGTATGTGTGTGTGTCTGCATATACACTAATTTGTGTATCTATACTGATTATCAAGTCTGGAGTGCAGAGAGACAGGCTCATAAACTTTTCTCACATCCTTTTTTCCATCTGGCCTCCCGGCCCTCACTGACCATCCATCCACATTTCTGTCTCCTCTCGCAGATCCACGCCCATTCTGTTCTGTCGTGTGGGCGGTGTTTTGACGAAGATCAGGTGCTCTTTCCTTTCCTGAGCCACGCCCTGTCCTGCCTGTGGACCGACCAGGGGGTGAGGGCGGCGTCAGCCCGGGGATACGAGTACGAACTTAATGACTCGGCGCTGTAGTGAGTACATCTTGCAGCATGCACTCACGCTGGGCTGAGGAGATGCGGGAGTCTAATTAGCTGGACTTACCGGCTGATGCTCGGACATGTGCTCGCCATCACTGGGAATCAGTGTCTGGAGCGCAGAGATGGAGGGAGACAGGTCACAGTAAACTGTAATAACATGTACCTCCACAGCTATTATATACATCCAAAGAACATTTGTATAAGATCCAAAAAGATTGAGATGGGAGAGGGGTGTCAGTCTCTTATTCCTCACTGTGCTCATTTGTTTTAACTGGTTTTGTACAGATAAGAGCAAAACATTGTCACGCACATAATCTCAAATGAAAAGGTGGGTAATGGACGCATCTTTTAAATGCTCATATTAAGACTAAGTCAAACCTACACAGAAATGAAAGTAGAGAAATGAGGTTGCAGACAAAGACTGGAAATAAGACACAAATGTAGAGTGGATGGTGTGTGTGACACAATGGTAAGACAGAGCTGGGACCCACCAGGAGGCCGTCTGTTCTCATCCTCTACCCCAGCAAGACGCCTCCATTCTGGGGTTATCTACACCGACAGGCCCTCTTGTTCCCACTGAGAACTACCACACATCACCATCACCCTCTGCTGTTCACACACGCACAGGGACACACACACATATTTGTTCTTCAGTGCCTGTTAGGACCCTCATTGACTCTTGACCATAAAGGGAATTCTTTTTTGCATTTATTGTTGTGTAGACATCATTCTTAGCAAAAACAAGCAGCTGAAATGAAAACAAATATTTGACATTATTCATCAGGTGGTCACAAAGATGAATCCAAATTATAATCATCGTCTGTTTACAGTTTGTTCTGCTGCCACCAAGACTCAATCAAGGAATAAATGAAAATGCTCTACTTTTAAAGAAATCTCTCTTTTTAAAACTCAGAGTGGTCCTCACAAAGACAGTGGGACACACACACGCATTTACACACACACAACACACACACACACACACGACACACTGTCGAAGAAACTGATTCAGGATGACTAGCTGAGAATGTCACAAGCAGTTCAGGTTAGTGGAGTGTGTGTGTGTGTGTGTGTGTGTGTGTGTGTGTGTTTAGAAAGTGCACTTCTCACTGTGAGCATACACATGATGCAGTTGATCACACTTCGCTGTATTAATAGCTAATCTGTGTTTGAAAGCTTAGCCTCAGTGTGTTATTATGGTAAATCACAGTGTGAATATTCATAACATTCATTGAGATGAGCCGCTGCGCCCCCTGGGGCTCCCGCCTTATCACTGCACGCCCTACCCTACCAAATGGCACAGACCAGGAGCCACAAGCCTGCATGACCATAACTGATACCTGATCTCTTTTGATGTCAAGTTTGTCTGCAGGTTATTTTCTCCTTCTCTCTCTCTCATCTCTCTTTATCTCTCCGTTTCCTTCTCATTCCAGTTTCTTTGAGAACATGACGCGCATCACGTCTCCAGACTACGTGCCCACAGAGACCGACGTCCTGCGTGTACGACTGAGGACGACAGGTGTGATTGAGACCCAATTTAAAGTCAGCCACCTCATTTTCAGGTAGACACCTTTCACTTTGCATTATATTGAGAATTTATGTTGCTAAGCAAGGGGGCTCACAACCACTCAATAGCTGGCTCTGGCAGCCATCATGTCCCCACTCCATTTCTCCGCCAGTCATGCCAACCTCACTCCCTTAGCTTATCTCTGTCTACAGCCATGTGATAGGCCCGAGATGTGCGATGGGCGGTCAATACGTCAATATGGCAGCTGTCAATTGGCTTTACACTTGTCTACTGATCATACACACACAATCAAAGACATCAGTGTCTCAGTCTTATCAGTGAAGAAGCAGAGGGCAGATATCGGAGCTCAGGGGACTGATGTAAGATGGTCATATTCATCTCTGATCGATGAGTCAGCGTCACCTTACAACCTTCCAGTGGCTGGAGTCATTTTCCTAAAGCTGCTGAACTTGATTTCTCTGCAGAGCAAATCAACGTCAACGGAAACAGTGACGATGATGGAAGAAGAAGATACTGATACTGATGGAGAATTAGGGCCTTAATAAAAAAGTAAAATACAGAGATTTTGACGATTAAGTCACAATATTAAGAATAAGAATATAATGTGTCAAATATGACACACAGCCTAGAATTACAACTTTATTCTAATTATTTAGTTCTAATACGTTTACAACTTTCTTCATGTAATATTATGATTTTATTCTATTAATATTAAACAAAATTTTTTGTAAAATTGATACTTTTCTGTAATATTACAACTACAAAAAGTAATATTCAGTCGTTTCAGTAATATTTGCTTGGAATATATTTTAATTGATGAACTTTATACTTTTCTCGGATTAGGTATTTACACAAGTCATTTTAATTATTAGTTAAAATGACTTTGAAAGTAATTCAAGTGTGAGACTTAGTTACAGCTTGAATTTATGTGGAAGTAAAATCCAAGTCTCATTTGAATGGAAATTGCTGAAATGAGTTTAAATGTCTGCCAAAGTGTATGTGATAAACTGAATGAGTTGGAAAGGCCAGTTGTGTCAGTTGAAGTGGTTAAACCTCTGGCTTATTATTCAAAGGTATATTTTGTTTTACACCTGTGTTCAGAAAAAGGTGTAAAACTGTGACAGTGTCAGCTTCTTGGAATAAAAGGCTGATTACTTATTCATAGTTGAAAACTGAAAACGAGAAGTACAAAGAGATTTGGCAAAGCTTTTGAAATAGTTTTAGCTTATTAAGTTTATTGAATTAAGGTGTTTATTTCATTGCCTGAGCAATACTGAGTTTGCAGCTCTTCATGTTCATATCTTTAATTTAGCCTGTTAGCATCAACATTTTCTAATAAGCACAAAATCCAAATAACAAGTGACCCGTAACTCTGTCTTTGTGTTCGGAAATCTGGAGACTGAGCAGACTGACTCCAGGGAAGAGTGTGTGCGTGTGTGTGTGCGTGTGTGTGTGTCATATTAAAAACAAATGAGATTACTTTGCCGTTGTCCCTTTCTTAGTAATATCTACCTGAGGAGCACCTCCTCCCTAATCCCTCTACAATATCAAGCCGTCCCTCATCCCTGCTTGACATTACACCTCATATGAATTAATAATATTAAAATGCATTACCTCAGTCTTTCATAACATCTCTGTCTAGCATATAAACATTGTAGAGGGAGCCTGTTTGTCAGCAGATGACATGAGTACCGGGACTTTGTGTCACATCTATGTCTCAGCTTGCTGCTCACTTGTGTGCATTTTTGCAATAAATGTCTCAAAGTCATTTGACTCCCACCTGGAAAAGTTTGATCAGTAAAAAAAAGGATTCCATCCATATTTGTTTCTGTTGTCGTGAGCAGACAAATTCTGCTTTTTCCTCGCAGCCTTACTGTTTGCGTCACCATTGAGTCACAAGGAAGCGGATCTGTTTTTGGCTCATGAAACGTTGTGGTGGTGACATCACCATTAGGTGACATATCAGATATGAGCAGAGGGATCAGAGTCCCAGGTGGTGCTGTAGGACGGAGCCCAACCCCCCACGCTCACACCCCTCTTATCTGCCCAATTTCTTGAGGACATAAATAATTGGGTTTAGTTAATTGATAAACAGCTCAGTATGATTATGTGTGTCTGTGTGTCTGTTATGAAAAAGATCAAGACACACGACGGAGAGCTTAGCATATGCTGATGTAATTACTTCAGACTTAGAAACAATATGGAGGGAATTTGAGAAGTATGTGGTTTGAGTTTTCGTCATACTGTGAAAATGACAGTAGGAATGCAGCACATGTTTCTCTGTTCTCTGACATAGACAGTATAATATGTACTGACTGAGCTTATAAATCAACTAATGATTTGTCAGGCCTTTATTTGATAGTACAGTGAAAGACAGCAGGAGAATGACATATAGCTAATGGTTCAGTTGTCTGGACATCAAACTGCGGGACAGGGCTCATGAGAGCCACCTAGGATGTGAGTCCCAGTCCCATACTAAACCATGCAGTGGACCAGTGAACCAACAACTATTGGGCAGAACCTTGCTGCTGCAAAAAGCGGTGTGTGTGTGTGTGTGTCTCACAACTTTTCACCCAGACGCCTAGTTTGCATAGAGATGTCCTGTTTGACCTTTGACCTCTTTGTGTAATTAGCTTCTGATTCTTCTGCTACATCATTAACATAAACTGATCTGATAATTAGAGTAACAACGCTGCAGATGGGGGCGAACATTGTGGGGCGTGAACAGCAGGTGTGAAGAGGAGAGAGGAGGAGCGGACGATGTAGAGATGACCCATCTCTCAAAACAACTAGTTTTTGCGGAATCCTTCTGATAGAAACAAATATAAATAGCTGGGCAAAAACAGATCCTCCCTGGATCCTCTCTAACTTTGAAGGACATCTGCATTGGAGTTTGTGCAGCCCTTAGCACCTGACTGGAAATTGCACTAAAAGATGTAGCATGTGTACTTGCAGTGGAAATCGAAACAAATCAAGTGCCACTGAAATCTTTGAAAAGTTTTAAAAATCCTATTTTCTGACCTTTTGATTGTTGCTTAGAAACCGCCATTCTGATGAGATGTTTCACTGAAACTATTTAATTTAACCACAAAGTAAAGACTCCCAGAGTCCCATAGTCATAGTATTTGTCCAGTGAGTCAAGTACATGCACACATCTGTCTGTCTGTAGTAGAAGTGATAATGATGTAGAGTTTATTCACTGTATCTTTTGTCAGTTGTTCAGTTTTCATCATCTCTGGTCGGTCTTAAAACTTGGTTGAACCCTAACACTCAAGGAACAGCAGGAGGGATTGTGATCAATGTTTATCTGTGTGTGTATTTGCAGAGCAGGCATCACACCTGTGACTAGTCAGAGTGTATAATGTGTATTATTAGTGATGTGTATATTTTGCCTGTGAGTAGGTTTGTGTAATGAAGCAGCAGTGTCACTGACATGGTCTGTGCCATTAAAAACCTTGTCTCCTTTTCACGTTGAGCTGTCGTCACTGGTTGCTTCTGTCTGTGTGCGTCTGTTCCCACACATTTGTTTCTCCTCTCAAAGAAGAGCTGCATTAACTCGCTGGATGCTGAGATGGAAGGTGGGAGATGGCACATCTGGCTTTGAGAAGTTGGATGGAGTGACCTGAGTCTCCAGCTGTGGCTCTCCGCTCTTATTTCCTGTTGCGTTTGTCCTCTCTCCTCCTTTTGGAGATCGTTGACCTTTGTTGTCTTGTCGTTGTCTCAGGGCGAATGATTATCTCTGTGAAAATTGAAAAAAGGTTGTGCAGAGGCGTGTGGCACGCTCCCCTGTTTTTTTTTCATGAGTGGAAATCGCATAGTGAGGAATATCTGACCTTATCCAGGACCAATGCAATCTGTCATTGATTAGAGTTAGCCCTCAGTGCTACTGTGGGCTGTACCATCAGTATGGAAGGTCATGAACACACAGAGAGAACAACCTTACGCTTTCCTATTGGAAATTGAATCCTGATGAAGAACATGTCAGTCACAATGAGTTGTCGTTACACGTACTCACAAACACACAATGTGCAGCCTTCACTGTCTGAGGGAGGATACGTAAACAGGTTTTCTCCCCCTCTTAATGAAAATGAATGCACAGGGGATGATTTCTTTTATCCAGCAGACATCTGGATTTAAATATTGTTCATAATGTCATCTTCATTTTCTTGCCTCTATAAAATCAGGCAGTAGAAAATTTCTCTCGTGTCTTGTTAGATCTGTAGTGAAGGAAAGTCATTGTAATGTTTTAGTGAGCAAAATGACTTCAGCTTTAATAAATACGTGTGTGTGCGTGCATGTGTGTGTGTGTGTGTGCTCATGCTCTCTGTTTACTCTCTTGATCGTCACTGATTGGAGTGTGCCAGCTAAATCAGAGCCACCTGGGCCCAGTATCACAGTTTTATATCTCTTCATCTGTTTCTTTTACCATTTGAGTTTAGTTTTAATTTCCATTTCTTACGACACGTTTTCTACACATGCTCTCTGATGAGCTTTGTCTCTGTAATATTTATTCTGCTGTTATATTTCCAATATTGTTCATCTTCGGGGCCCATTCTGTTGGGTTCATGACAAATAGACAATATACTTGTCACAGCACAAAAAGGAAGAGGGTAATCAGTAACATTACTGATTTCATTCTTCCATTTAGATGTTACATCAAGTCAGTGAGCCAACTGAGCCCCGAATCAGCCACACCTAATAGAATCCATCCATGATTATTGTTCATATGTGAAAAAAGACTTTTCAAACTTATTCTGAAATTGTTGAACTAGTGCACTTTCCTTTCTCAACATCCCTGTTCTCGATGGGCTGTTGGCTTGGCCTGTGGTGATGCTGGTTGTCATTCCAAACCTGAAGCTGCTCCACTGCTGCTGCACCAAGAGCTGTTCACCTGTCAATTCAAAGTTCTGTGATGCTTACGCAGCATCAGTCATCGTTGCCGTTGATCTGAACGCAATATTGTCGTGATCGTCAGCTTCACTTTAGTTGATGAGTCACTGCTGCTACAGACATTGGTGACATGGTCAAAGTTTAGTAAAATTGAACGTATCACATTCGAATTCCCTGGGCCCTTAACAATAAACATGCCAAGTGTGAAGTCAATACAATGAACGTTTCTCAAGAGATGTAAGTCACAGACAGACAGAGATGTCTGGAATTAGAAGATAGATTGGTGTGGCTTGTTCAGGTATTTTCAAGGTAATCATACATTTTCAAGCTGGTCTCCTCAATTAAAGGGTCCAAAAGCCATTCAACCACTGGATGACTGGATGATTAAATTAAGATATAGCCAATAAGACAATAATAAATAAAATATATATAATTTGCCATATATAATTTATGTATCCAATAAGGTTAACAGGTTGTCTTTCTCTCAGAGGTGGATATAATCAATCATCACCTAGGAACTGTTAGGAGTAGTGCCGACATGGTCTTAAAACAGAGACGTCCTGTAAGCTCCCCTTCACATGTGCACAGACAGGGAAATCCCTGCACACACTCCTGAGCTCTCACACTGAACATTGATGGATTCACGTCTGAAATGTTTTCCCCAAAGGCCCCCAACAGGTTGGCAGGTGAGAATCCATGATCATAACTACTGCTCCTTCCTCCATTATTTTTTCCTCCAAAGGCCATCTTACTGCCATTTGGGACGGATTGGGGAGATAGAAAAAAAGTGTGAGCCGATATCTGTCTGTGCCTCAATCCTCTAAAAATACTTTTATGATGTGATTTTCTTGTAATGACATGTCAAAAAATCATATGCTACACTTATGGGAATAATAAAGGTATAGTTGTGTAACAAAACCTTAGTAGAGCTTCCAATCACAGTCAAATGTAACTAGTGAAAACATCTGAGTGACCGGGCTGTAGGTTTTAACATGTGCACTGTTAGCTGTTGCACGTCTTGTTGTTTCCAGACGCTATTACCTTGTTGAAAAAGGGTTGTTTCTCAGGGATAAAAGGAAGCTTTTGAAGGAGACTCTGAAATGGAGCAACGTAGTCGTGCAGTCGAAGCAATCAGTCTTCAAATGCAGCCTCCAAAGGATGCAGCCCCTGAACGGAGACACAGTTTGTCTGTGGCCCTTTATCTGAAATGTAGAAAGACTGTTTCACTTAAAAGGCCAGTGAGGGGCTGCCAGGCTGAAAGTGTTTATGACCAACATGCTTGTTGTGCTTAAATGTTTAGTTCATTTTTTAAATCCATTTCTCTACATTGTGACACCCTTCTCCCCCTTTCTTCATGTCATTGCTTATCCACATGTCTCCCCCTGTCTCATGTCGTGCCCTGTGTGTGCAGGATGTACGATGTTGGAGGCCAGCGAACTGAGCGCAGGAAGTGGATCAGCTGCTTCGAGGACGTCAGGGCGGTGCTGTTCGTGGTGTCGCTCAGCGGTTACGACATGACCCTGGTGGAGGACCCCTCCATGGTACGAGCTGCACTATGCCACTGCCTAACAATTGTCCATGCTCTCCAGTCAAAGTTAACTCGAGACAGCTTGATGAGTCTCAACCAATCAGATAACCCTCTTACTTTACAGACCAAGTTTTAAAAATGTGTCTCCACCAATGTCTGCTGATGTCTGTCTGATGGTGTCATTGTCTTCTCTGCAGAATCGTCTGCAAGAGAGCATGAAGCTCTTCTCCTCCATCTGCAACAATGTCTTCTTCCGCAGCACATCCATGGTGAGAAATTCTTCAGTCACCCGGTTAATCAAAGTCAGAATGTAGTATAACAAATTCGCTTTTCCTTGATAGGATTTCAATAAATAGTCATCTGAAAAAAAAGGGAAAAGCTGCTGTGGCCCTAGTGGGACTGTAATTATCACGACCAATCAGCTGATTTGTTGGTATACCTGTCTGTCACCAACCGACCTGCCTGCCTGCACACACCCTGCCTGGCTCTTACTGAGCATCACTGAAGCAGAGACGGTAGAAGTTATCCAGTGAGTCACGGAAAAGTCAGCTTCTAGCAGCAGTCAGGCAGCGTGCCTCCACTAAATAATAATATTTTAAAATCCATCGCTATTTAAATAAATTACCTCTCATCCCGAGATGTGGATTTACAATTAGTTTTGTTTTGAAAGTCAGGGTCCAGCCAAAGAGGGCGGGATTCACGGTTCAGTCCGACTGTTCAGTTGGTGGAAGGAACTAATGGAGGAGACACAAGCAAAATCTTTTTGTAACCCTTCCATTTGTTCTCAATGACACCAAGAAACAAAAATAACCTTAATGCTGTTTCCATGCACACACACACACACACACACACACAGATCGCAGCCTCAGCCCTTTGTCTGAGTCCTCTGTCGCTTGTAATTAAACAGTGATTTGTAATTAGGGTGAGCTTTGACAAGGTGACATTTCCCCTCTCTGTGTTTTTCAATCCCCTGTTCCGGTCACATTAAATCAAGCGTGTAACAAGCTAATTCAATTCATTTCACTTAACTTGCATTTAAAGCCGACTTATATGTCGTGTCGGTCTCTGTAAACTCTGCAGCCTTTCCTGCACTTTACACAGGCACATCACTGTGATCACTGTTCTTTAGTTTTGCAAGAAACCCCAATTTTTCTGTTTCAATGTAGGATGAAGAAGTAACAGCTGGTAGTTTTGGTCCAAGTTTAAGCGTTGCATCAAAGAATCTCTTTTCTTTTTTTAAGCATAAAAAATTATTCAAAGCTTCATTAGAGACAAACGGGCAATTAAATGTTGTGATGTGTTTGTGTGGGCCTGCACGTTAACATCACTAACTGGCTCATTAAGTAAAAGTGTTTAATGATACCTTTTTTTTACGTGGGAGGGAAATTTGTAACCTCCACCTCAATTATGTCTTAACTGTAACTGCTGAGTGATGATTACACGCTAAACCGTTGCTGTGTATCCTGCTCATTGAAAATCTGCCCTCGCTCATTATTACCAGAGGCTGCGAGTGCGTGTGCAAGATCAAAAATGCCAAAAATTTGATTATATTTAATTTGGCCGACTACAAAGCCAAAAGCACTGGTGAAATGTGTCGGCCGCCGAGAGGAAGTGGAGTTTGGAGGCAGGGAAACAATAACAGCGGAAAGGCCTTCTCTGGAGACTACAGCTCACGAGTGATTGACTGACTGATGAGTGATTTGCTCACCAGCGTGTTGATTGAGGTCATTGATCTGCCATTATCACCCCGTGATGGTCTCAACACAGCTATTGATTCTCACATTTTACACAAATGTGTGTAAAGTGAGAATAAATGTGACGTTGAGAACTGATTGATTGATTTAATACTTTGAAGTTATTGCAGTGCTACAGATGAGTCTATTTTAAACAGTGTGTGTGTGTGTGTGTGTGTGTGTGTGTGTGTGTGTGTGTGTTCTATTTCAGATATTATTCATGAACAAGATAGACCTTTTTCAAGACAAGATTTTACACTCTGGACGACATCTACGGTTATACCTGACACAGTTTAAAGGTAGGACTCATCAGTTACTTATGTTTTTTTGTCTTTTTTCTCTTTCTTTAACATTGTGAGATATCTTGATTTCTCAGAGAATAATTCAAGGATGTTTAGGGGGCTGATATTTTCGACTGTGTGAGATTTGGTACAGATTTAAATAAAAATCCAGATAAATGTGGTTTCACAAGCAAACTTCATAAAAAAAATTAAATATCACTGCACATGAACATACATTTTTACATATAAAGTACAAACAGTTCCCACTTCAAATACAGTACAGTTGCTATGCCATGAATTCAACTTTTACAAAACTAATAATGTCAATTTGACCACTTTCAGAGGCACCGATTGAAGTCTTTGTTTATTATTGATGTTGTCATTTGCAGTGTTTATATTGGCTGCATTATATCGAGAATTTGAATATGATGCAGTTTAATTTAACACCACCACAGACATTAGTATAGTTTTACACTTCTCTCAGGTGTTATTTTAGAATATAGGACTAGATGTTGAATATCCCTTGCACGTTTAAAAGTCTTCTGCACAATTTAAATGATCAACTACCAGTAGATGTTAGTGCAGAGCAGGTGTTAGTGACCACCAGCGGATCATTAAGCATCGGAAGAGTAAGAGATTTGAGACTGATTGAATGGGGGTAAAGTCTTTCAAACTGAATTCACACTGAGCACATTTGTGTTTTGGCCTTGTAAACAACGATACAGGCTGAACTTGAGGGTACGCTGAGGCTTAAGGTAAATCTGACTGGCTACTGGCTTGTATGACAGTCCTATGAAAGCCAAGCGCAATAGATTAGACATCATTACCTCTATGCCTTTTTAAACTAAACACTTTCCATTTTAGAACATAGGACAAGATGGAGAATATCCCTTGTATGTTCTACTGCACTAATTTGTGACTACTGCCAGTTGTTGTTAGGGACATATCACACAATGATGATTTAAACTGTAGATGAGTCTTTCTAAATGTAGAATATGTGGCCGATCTGTTATATTGAACTGAATTAAACAGCAGTACATGGTTCGCACTGCTGTGTCAATGCAAGACGATTTGATTCTGCCGATCAAAGACGTGGAGTTTGCATGGCCTTTTCTATAAAGCTAATGGGTTAATTGATCGATTGTATAGTATCTAATAATTGTACAGGGATCTCTGATTAAGTGGCCTGGCAGTGAGTGTTGTCAACAAATAATTTAGTTTTCTGCTGATTCAAGTTCTTTATGATCAACCAGGTCGGAGGACCAAAAGGGAGCGTAAGTTACACACCTGCCTTGTTCTGACTTTTCAGTTTATGTCAGAATTAAAATAACAGGTGTGAAAGTGTCCTCAGACCTTGATCTGGATTAATGGACCAAAATTTAGTCCGACCAAAAGAGGTGGTCTCAGTCTGGATCAAACTGAACCGTGAAAACACTTTTTGGGGATAATTCAGACTTTCAGACTAATCGCAGGAAGTTGACAGCTTTAAACAATAGAAGAAGTAAAGGAAGCGGAAGTAGCTCACAGGATCGCTTGAAGTCGTCTCTGATATAATGTTTGAGCAACATGGAATAACTAGTGTGGAGTACTGCGCCTGTAGTTTGTCATGCTGGTAGTGATACCATGATATTACAGCAGAAATGGAATTAAACAAATGAAGTGTTTCATTTGTTTTCTCCATTCAAACAGAAAGACTACTTCCCACCGAACTGCCCGTCTACAAACCAATCAATGTCTGGTAAAGGTAGACGCAGCCCACGTAGGTGATGACGTGTTCAATATAAATCATACCTCCTTAAATTACAATGTGAAACTAAATCTTACTGGATCAAATATAAACAATGTAACAGACATGAACCTTGGTTCAGACTTTCAGGTGTGAAAACCTCCTTCATCTTCAATCTCAAACCTTTCCTTTTCTCAGAAACCTTTAACCCTGTCTGTTTATCCAGCTGAAAGAAGTGAACCTGAATGTGACTACCCAAAGATTTGACACTTTCTGTCAGACTCTGCTTCACTAAAGATTCAAAACTTAACTGTGTGTATTGGTAATTGGTCTGTGCATAATTTACCAAACACCAACAGACCATCTTTCCTTATATATGAGGAACGACTGAGCATCATGAGTACTACATTCCAAAATGTTTTGAAGCAGAAAAACTAAATGGATCATGGAAAACGGAGATTTCACCTCATTTATCCTGAAACTTCTGTGCAAAATGTCTGTGAATGTTTATATCATCCAGGGATGTCATCAAGCGAAATATGTTGCATTATTGAATTTGAAAAAATGACTTCAGACAGAAACAATACAAATTGTCTGAAAGACAGACTGATCATTAATATCCCACTGGGGCGGACTCACACACTGACACACTGTTATTGTTTGAGGGGTTTTTTGTATCCGCTCGTCTCAGCACTTTGCTCCCCACGTCTCAGTGGACTCATCAGGGGCTGCATCCTCTGTGCTCTCATGCAAATGTCAATATAAATGCTAAAACTTTTGGATTGGGGTCAGCCAGCAGAGCGAGAGTCCATTTCATACTGACCTCAGATATGATGACTGGTCTAATACAGCAGCTCCCAACCTTTTCTGTCTGATGTGACCTCACAGCCCCATCAGAGGAGCTCATGTGCCCCTTCACCAATGCCAACCTGGGAAATGTGTTCATCTGAATTTACCATGAACTGGATGTTTTATAATAATGTTAAATATATGAAGATGATACAAGATGATCTTTGAACTGTCAGTACTTGTCTTCTGTCCGTTACTACTTTAGCTCAGGTTTCCGTTTTATTCTCACTTTGAGTGGCAGATTTCTATTTTGACTACTCTGACTTTGACTACTCTCTACTGGAATGTAACTGTGCAATTATGCAAGTCATATACTTAAGTGAAAATTTTGGCCACTTCACTACATTTCAAACATTGAACCATGAATCTGTTTGAACAGATTCTGCATGTAAATATACTATACTATAATGTACTATACTATACTATACTATACTATCTATACAGAATCTGTTAGTGTGGAACAAGAGTTTGGGACTGGAAGCCTCCTGGTTTTGGTTCTAGTTTGACCACGTTTGAGCAGCTTGTTGCCTGCAGGTAAACAGTCTGTGTGGTGAGAAAAAGAGGTGGAACACATTGACTGAAGTGCATCAGCTATCAGCTTTTTAATGAGAGATGAACCTAAATGTCATTTTCTTTAATCATCGTTGGTGTTTTGTGTGGTGACTCGACTCGACTCGTTTAATAAAAGAAACTAGTCGGAAATAACAGTTTGGTGAATGGAAGACAGAGTCTTGTCCCAGATATCCACTCACTACAATCGCAAATATTGTCCGTTGCCCCAAAGACTAATTTGTCTTCAGACGATAGACAATGAGCTCAGAGATTGTTGAGATCCAGTATTTAATTATAACTACAAAATACTTTGAATCCACTGGTTTCCAGTTTTGTTGACTGTCAGTCTAGTTGATGTCCACTTTTAATTTAGAATAACTGTTCAAATTACAATATAAAAACACATTTCTGACAAATCCAAGTGAGTTGGACTTTGTCTCTGTTTCTCTTCTTTCCTTCTTTTATATTTACCTTAAACTTCTTAAAACCCCTCCGATAAATTTAATGAGCCTTTGGAAGGTTTGATGCTTTGACTGGAAACCAGTGGACTAAACTATCAAACGTTACATAAAGCAGCAATAACGAGCTCCACCTCCAGCAAGTAACTAAACATTGTAATAATGTCACCTATAATAATACATCAGCCACGGGATCCATTTTACTGCAGAACAAATACTAATCCATAACATTTACTCATGTATTTCTAGGATTTTTAATGCAGGACTTTAAATTGTAATCAACATTAATGTGTTGACATTTGTGTGAATAATACAGATCTGAATATCTTTAGTGACACTCAGTAGACTCATACATCCACCAAGGCCCGACAGTCCCCTAATGAAACCACATTCAAATTCCCTAGATGTGGATTTTTATTTGAATCTGCACCAAATTGCACACAGTCAAATAACAGTCTCCTAAACATGTTTTCATTAACACAAGCAATTCCTGGACCCGCCCCTTCATCTTGGGTTGAATGGGGTCTTTCTTGGTCCGTGTTCCATCCTTCCAAGTTTCGTGGAAATTTGTCAAGTTGTTTTTTTTTGTTTAATCCCGTTCACAAACAAACAAACACACAAACGATCAGGGGTGACAACATAACCTTATTGGCATTTGTTTTCATGAACTCTCCATCACATCTGTTGTTATTCAGATGTTAGAACTTAATATAACACATAGTTACATCTCTTGTACTGTAATAAACGTTCTTAAGATCAAACCAGTTTTGTTATCCATTTAACACCAAATCATAATCTCTGTTATTTCAAGTCATCTGACTTTCTTCACATAATCCTCCACATGCTTGTGATTTACTCGTCTATTCCACATTTAACTGACACTCCTTCAGTTGTCTGTGCCGAGGAGGAAGATTATCACTGTAGAGTCTGATTCCTCTGTCTTCTCTCTTGCAGGAGCAGACTGCGACGTGGATTCGGCCGCCCGCTTCATCGCCGCCACCTTTGTTTCGCTCAACGCCACGGCCAGCAAGCTCATCTACCACCACTTCACCACGGCGACGGACACATCCAACATCCAGGTCGTCTTTCAGGTGGTCATGGACACGATTATCAAAGAGAACCTGGAGGCAGTGTCACTTCTGTGACTGCCAGTGGATGTCACCGGACAGACGGCCCTGTTTGTGTTTGAATGTTTCATTTTAAAAGGCGAACGTAGCAAAGAAAAGGGATTGAAGAGAACATGAGGATCCTCTCAACGAAGCATTAGTTTTCTCTCTTGAGGAGCAGTCTGGGAGCTTGTGATGCTTCATTTCATGTAGCGTTAAAAAACGTCTGGAAACACATTAAGGACAGAAGACGACCACTGGCCCAATCCTCCCATTTCGACGTGTTTTGTGTGTGTGAGTGTGAGTGGGCAGGCAGGACACAGGGCATGAGGAGGATTTACTGTTTGTCCGTTACTTCCCTGGTGCTGGGCTCACTCGTGCATACCATGGTGTGTTTTCCACTCATTAATCACTGTGTCTCCGCTGTGTGCATCCCGTGCGTCACACACCCTTCTCCTAATGAGGCCGTGACGCAGCAAAAGCACCCTAGTTTGCGTTTACTCTTCCTCAGTTGAAATCACAGCACACAAGGTCATTATCATCTGTGCCTTCGCGCGTTCCCCCGACTCTTGCCATTCAGAGACGATTCCGGGACGCTTTAATATTGGTAAATTTGGAAAATAACATGAGGAATCATCCCTGAAGCCTGGTGACTTGTTTCATTTACCTACTTGATGATTATTGTTGTAATATCTGAAACACACACACACACACACACACAAACCCTGGTTTGTCAAGCAGGATGCTGCCTCCTCTTTGTGATTTGTGTGACATTAACTCGGTGAAGGCTCCCCTGAGCGACTGACTGAGCGATCGCGGCAGCTCCTCTCTGACTCCAGTAACAAACAAGATGTGCTAATGACTGCTACGCTGTGATATGGACTCTGAAAGTGAGAGAAAGAGTTTAAAAAAACACCCCCAAGTGCCTTATGATGAAGTGCTTTTCTTCTGGTGTGTAAATAAAAATGCTTCATACATATATAAAATATCTACATGTGCATTTTTCCTTCTAGTTTTTCTGTCATTTTCTGTCTTTACGTTTCATTCTGTATCACTACTACCTTAATCTAATCGACAAGATTACAGTTTGTTCTTTTTTATTTTTGAAGGTCAACACTGCAGGTGATTAACAAATCGAGGTAGCACTGCACACATCACTTATTTTACTTGTTCTTTGAAATATTTAGAGACAAATTTAGGCCACACAAGTTACCAGTGTTCGTTTTAATAGATAAAATAAATAAAAGTACTTTCCAAGAAATCTGCTCTGCAGTCAAATGTCTGGACATTTAATACATTTAGGCAAGAGTGGGTACATGTCAGGGGTTAGACAGTAAAGAGAGGAAGTCATGTGAAAACAAAGTGGTTTCAGTTAACATCTTTTTCTATACTCATGTAACCAAAGCAGAAAAAAGAACAATGTTTGTGTTTTTAAATGAGAGAACATTCAGAGTCAGCAGCGGTCCATCATTGATAATGATCAGGTTTTCCTCAGCGCCATCAACCCCAACACACTCCTTCATCCCTCATGCCTTTCCCTCCCTTCCTGCATTTTTTTTCTTTTTCAGCCCTCCCGGGAAGGTGGAGGACGAGGATTACATGTCTCCCTCCCTCTGCCGGGTCCCCGGATTCACGCGGGGACTCACGCGGACAGGCAGTCCAGGGAGTCCAGGGTGAGGAAGACGTCCGCCTTGCACTGGAAGGTGCCGGTCCCGTCCCGCAGCAGCTCGCAGCTCTTCAGGTTTGGAGAGATGTCCTTTACGCAGATGGCCTGAAGGATGTGAGAGGAAGGGATGAGGAAAAAGTAAGTTTACGTAATAAAATTCACTCAAAGAAAGAATCTTCCTGGTTTTGATCATACTTTTCTCCACCATCATTTAATCAACTGCAGGGAGAAGTCTGTGCACTAACTTCACCACCTCTTCATTTCATTTAGAATATAGCTGAATTATTAGGATTATTTAACAACAGCTAATAACATGGCGCGGAATGTTTTCTTCATAAAAGCTCTGTATTTTCGTCTGCTGGTGTTTTCCTGGCTGCGCTTTGAGCAACAGCGCTCACTGGTGTGCGCCTTTACGCACGGGTTTTAAACCGTTATTTAACGTTTAGACCTCAACTGTAAGAAACAAAAGTAAAAACATATCAATATTTAACGCTTATTTAGTTAAAATATTACCAAGCTAAAATAGTTAAGCATCGCAATAACGGTAGCTCCTGTGGTGCTGAGCGGAAAGCGCATTTTACGCACCACCTCTTCGTCCCAACCTCAGTGTAAAGCAATGAGGAATAGAGTGCGGACCATTATGACTGAACTCACCATGCTTTTGAGGATGGAGATCTGCCTGTTGGTCTCTGGCATCACGTTGTTACCCGTCGTCTCCCCGCTCTCCATCAGCGTCTCCTCGGTCTCGGCCCTACGGACGTACGGTGACCTCCTGATGCCGGACAGCAAACCAGAGGCGCGACCCACCGAGTAGTAACTGGGCCCGGTCGACTGTTTGTACCAGGCTTCAACTGGACGGCAGGAGATGAGCAGGGACACTCCGACGCACACCACGGCAAACCTGACGGACCTCTCCATGTCTGTATTGGCACCTTTTTCCTTCCCTTTACGCAAAGTGAGGAACGGCTTTGTTCTTCTTTCTGCTCTTGTTCAGCGGCCGACTTTATGTTTTGTTGGCTGTTTGGGAAACTTTGTGGTGCTTATATAGGCTGAGACGTTATCGTGACCGACGACGTTCATCAAATCAAAATTGAGGTGGGTGGATGATGAGACGTCTGTGTTCAGGAGGAGGGAAAAGACCAATCACAATCGATCGCTTTTCATGGCTTGGTGGCGACATGGGAGGGGTGTGTGTGTGTGTGTGTGTGTGTG